GACGTGTGTTCCTCCGCGACCCGAAAAGAGGAGTGGGCATGGAAGATGAAGTAGAAGATGAAATTTACAAGTTTGATGAGGGCATCTTTCTTCATTCACAGACAGCTTACGATTGACATGTAAGAGGGGTTAAATTAGATAGTTAATACAGATGACTTCTGTCCAGTTACACAGATTCTAATCGGTGACCATGGCATGGATCGTTGACAGAAACCAACGCTGTGAGTCAAAACGTCATCGACGGTAACACGAAGGCTACGTACAGGAAGACATACGCAGCCGTGCAAAAGTAGACATCGTTAATCTAGACATCTAACGTTCTAGAAGCCGTTGTAAGCTTTTGATATAAAAGTTACATGAGATTTTTGTTATTTGAGAAAAGAGATCGAATTTTGTTGTAGCGCTGGAAAAGAAAGTTCTGGTCGAAAGTTTCTGGACTTTGTTGATCGCATGACACAGACGAAGTCTTTTCAAGAAGCAACGGAGAATAAGTACGTCAAGAAGCTGATGCACGGTAATTAGTAATTTTTTATTATCAGCAATTTCTTTTCATTGGGTACTACTGCGAACATTCGCTGCCCCCAATGAAAAGTTGTCGTTCGAAGCCTTTTTAGATTTTTAGGTCTGTGATTTGGATCGACCTTGTCTGACGGAGTAATGGAATTGTTTATTTTCATGGCCTCTTTCATTATTTATGATTAAAGAAGATTTTCAGAAAAACTTAAGTATATTGGGAGCATATCTGGTAATACTGCGGATAAACTTATTTACCCATTCCATATCTCTTTATCTGATTCAGTTTCTCTGGAAAGATTTCTCACGAGGAAGGAAATGTCGAGTCTTTGGATCTGTATTGCACATCGTTTGTGCCACTGACCGTTTCGACTGCCTTAAATATAATGTCGCGGTCAGCTGACACATCATCTGTCCTGGTGATCCGGAAACGATAAATGAGGCAGTTAACAGGAGACGCCTGAGTCTGGCGAACCTCCGGACAAGGTTATCCTGCACGAATTAAATTTTCACTCTTCATAGGTCCGTTGAGCGATGCTGACGAACCTACTTGTTTTGCCATGCAACATTTATCGACGCGTTTAATTCGCTTCGAAACGCAGTTGATTTATTTCATCGTCTGACGATGTGAGAAATCTTGAACTGGCGTTGAGTACTATTCCGTGCTTCTCCATTTAATTTCTCCCTTATTCTGCACGGCTGCGAAGTTGATCTTTCTTGTAGAAACCGAATAATTTGTAAGTTGGAGGGCAAATGGCGCACGACATAGACAAGTTTAAATAATTCAGGTTCATCGTTTCTAACGATAATACTAGGAAGCCAAAGTTAATTAGGATGTTCGTCAATGCTTTCGGTGCTTTCGATAACCTTTCAGTGCAGTATTTGGGCGGATAAAAATGATGCAGTGGTCTTATTTTAGTAGATGCAGAGAGGCACGATTAGAAGTTCGGGAAAACTATATTAATTGAGGCTTTCGAAACCCAAAACGGTGTTCCTTCTTCATTACAAATTGATAATGCACTGAAGAGATAGCGTAATCACGGATAACAAAGATTTGCAAGTACGGTTAAAGCATTGTAACGAAGAAATGCAGCATAAGCAAGGAAAACGAGTGAAAGAAAATAAGCAAGAAAGATAAAATAAAACGAAAATGAGCGAAAACTTAAGTAAAAAATAAATTACACTTCAAATATTGACACCGGGTTTACACTGCGATTGTTATTTAAAAAAAATAGATTAGAATAATAGGAACTAAATTTAAGATGAGATTCCAAATAGATAAAAGCCGTTTGAAGCTCCATTCCTCGTTTACGCATGTTGAACATAATGCTTTGATGCAGACAGATTTGCGTATCATAAGACCGATAGTGATAATATCGCGTCCTTACTGTTAGAGCGGCGTAGTTTGTCAATAGCATGCTTCACAATAGATCTTAGACCACCATTTCACTTCCTTGAACAGACAAACGACAGTTGGTGGAAATCTGCTTCTGGTTTCGCTTTTTTTCTAAAACTTGTTTTCACCTGTCAGTTCCTTCTGGATATCGCGGGTCTTTAGGCGTTTCTGATACACCTCTGATTTTGGCCATCAGAGTCAGACATATCGGTGGCACGGCTGTGATCAATATTCCACCGCCTCCTTCGGATCGACTGTGGTAAGTTTTCCTTCCAGAGTTCAGCCTGAATCTGGGTTCGTTACTTGCATTTTAGGTATGGTTTTCTGTCCCCTCCGAAGATTTCACTCCAGGCGATACCTAAGGTCGGAGGAAGGACGGTTAATGTTGCTAACATAACGGAATGGATTGAAAAGAAGTTGATATCCTTGGTGGAGGTAAAATGCTTTACAAATTCTTTTCTTTCGAGGTTGAAAATTTAGTAATTTTTATTAAGGTAAATTGCTGAATATAAGCGGGTCGCTTTCCATAATCTTATTTCAGTTTCCCTGTCACGGAATACGAAATTGCCCAACAGCGCGAAGTAAGGTATACTGTGCTCCATGATATGGTAGCACCTTGGCTGGGCATTTTCGCCTTCATTGCGGGTCTTAAGGGTTGACAAAGCTCCTCATGCTTATCCTTGCAGTCTGTTTTTGGTAGGACACTGCATACAGACTCATATGGAAGCATTAAGCGCTGTTAATCCCGAAAAATCTACAGAAAAGCATTTACCGTGTTGTGTACGTCTGCTGATCAGAGGAGATATATGGACAAAGCAGGCCGAACATCTGAAAGTGCTTAATGGATCACTCCTACTTGTACATCAGTTTCATTAAGCTTGTTTAACACGTTTCACTTCACAGTCTTTATTACGGTCTATGCTGTTTCGTTGCATGCTGTCTGGGCGCAGACAGTGCTTGGCTATCAAGGCTCAGTGCACAGTCACCGCCTGGAATTTGTATGACTGGACGGTGGTTTTCTGCATTACCTATTTGAGTTAGCCCATCATCTTATAGATCAGCTGCAATATACTTGCAGTCCTGTGGTCATGATTTTAACTTGTACTTTTGGCGGTTTGATAATCTCTATCAATTATTTGACTCCATGCAACTCTCTCCGTGAGTATAACGCGAAGATTTTTTTAATTTCATGATTCCATAACGTTTAGTCAGATGTAAAAATTTATATCAGTTATTGGTCGTCTGTATCAGCTACTTAATTTCATTCCTCACACTGTGCGGTGATCCAAAAAAACTGTAAGATTAATTGCAAATGTATTTGTATGTTGTTTTTTGTGCTCTATTTGTATATGTAGTTTGTATTATAGTTCAGTCATTCTGTTCGACTGGTGTTAAGAAAAAATGGACAATTGCTTTACCAGTTTATTTCACAAAACTGTTGTATTTAAGTTTAAATTAAATCAATCAGTCAGTTTCGATGACCGTTTCTTTTCGGGTCGCCGGGTCTCCAGCGTCACTAATCCTGTGCCAGTGCTTGAGTTTCGACAAGAGATATCTCGAGTTTCGAGCAGAGTCATTCGAAACACCTGATACCGGATATTCTTGGCCGTTCCCGATGTCTCTGACCGGTCGCTTGAGCAAAACGAGTTTCGTCTTCCTTTTTGGAGGGATTCGCAAAACGAGCCCAAATCATCGCAGCTGTGACTTCTCAGTTCAGGGAAGCAGCAGTTTTACACTAAAACTGTCTCATATACCCGGATCATGTCGAAACGTGTGAGCCAAGTGATTCTGAGAAAATCTGTTTTAGCCGCTTGTGCCCGGGATCGAAGGTTTTCGTCATAAATCACAACTCATGACTGTAGGAAACATTTTTATGAACATCGACTTGAATTCAAACACCTTTGTCCTGTGATTCACGTCTGCCTTGGTCATATCGGTTCGGGCTAGTTCACGTAGGGCGCCGCTGGACATTCTCTTCGCCGATCGATCGCTTTCTTCGATTTTCCATCACCAGTAAACGCGACCCCGAGGTACGTGAAACTTCTCCACCTGTCTACTGCTTCTCCATTTAGCTGCCTTAAGAAAGCACTGGATTTCAGTCACGTCTACACGCTTTTAGGTAATGTCGTATTCGCCGCCGAACAGAGTTAATAAGTCTATTAGTGAATATTATGGGTATTGCTAAGTAGTCAGTTTCCAGCTTAGGAGCGTTGTCTTACTTACTTAGGAGTCAGTCACTCAGTTTCAATCACGGTTTATCTCTTCAGCTGGCGCTGGTGATGATCAGACAGCGTTCTCGATCCTGTAGCAGCATGTGAGCTTCGGCTGAATATGAAATGAGTCTGGAGCAAAGTCTGTCGAGACACTTGCCCCAGGCTATTCTTGTTCGTATCCTGGTTGTTCAGCCGGTCATTTGAACAAATAGTAGCTGCTTCTGCGAAGATTCGAAGGACATGCCCAAAGGTGCCGCGACCATGCAGCAATGAGCTCTCTACCTGAAGAAGCATATGCTTGACACGAAGGCTCTTTCAGGTACCTCCAATTCTGACAGCGTCGACGCTCGTAAGGCCGGCGACTCGTCTCGGAGAGCCCATTTCAGACGCTTTTACCTGGGGTCGAAGTTTTTAGTCATGGTCCACGAATCACCACTGTACGTAAACATGGGGATGAACATCGATTTGAACACCGAGAACTTAGTCACACTCAGCTCTGCCTTAGTCACAATGGTTTGAGCTAGTTGACCCATAACGCCATTGGCTACTCCAGTCCGCCGATCGGTCTCTTTCTCAAATTTTCCATCACCAGTAAACAAGATCCCGACGTATTTCAACTTCTTCATCTGTTCCACTGCCGCTTTGTTTATCAGAAGAAAGCAACGGGTAGGAGAACGAAAAAGCACTAGGTTTTTCGGTTTAGGTACATTCATACGCATGCCGGCCGCGTCGCACTCGGCTGCGAACCTTTCCAGAAAGCGTTGTAGATCAGCATCAGAAGATGCCAATAAAACGAGGTCGTCTGCAGACAGCAGCCTTTTCCTCCCCATATCTTCTACACCGATACTCATCGCCTTGGCTGCTTCTGACTCTTCTATCCATGTACAACACAAATAGGAGGGGACACCATTTACTCTGACGAAGCACCTGCTATCAGCATATATTGATTGGATGACCGGTAACAACTAGCCATTGATCCCATATGTTCGCAGGCATACCCATAGATTGTTGCGCCGGATCTGGTCATAGGCTTTCTCTAGGTCCACAAAGCGCATGTAAACCGGATGAGCGAAATTTCTTAACTATCTGGCATAAGGCGAAGATTTGAGCAGAAGTTCTTCGGCCTGGCCTAAAGCCACACTACTTTGCTTGTATTTTGCAGTCCGTTATTCTTGTATTTGGCACCTCCTTTCTAGTCATCTTTACGTAGACTTTACTCGGAAGGTTGAATTGCAGGTGAGTGCAGGTTCAAAGTCCGAATGGTCTCTCTTTTAGGACGGGTGCTACCACTCCCTTTTTCAGTCTGTCTTCCCCGTAGTCATTGCAGTGTGACAGATACGTGTGAGCCAGAACATGCCGTGGTAATGGTTTAAGCATATCAGGGTGGATTTCATTGATTTCAGCGGTTTTGCCACTTTTTCGTGCCTATTACAACTGCTCTTCAAGCAAGTCGTGATGCGGTTGCTCAAAGTGGTTTTACGATCGGAGTATATCTTTCTTGGGGCGAAGGCGTCCAGACGTGTCCATCGGGACTCTCAAACTGTCCTGCTTTCCATCTCAAGGCGGCGGATGGTCAGTCATAATACATTGTTATCCGTCTAGAAATTCGACTGCAACACCTCACGGAACGTTTGCCAGGAATCAGCTGTAGCTATACCCGCTGTCGTTGCCGACCTTCCTACTCCTTCGTACCACATTCGAGTTGAAGGCTCTTGCTTCCAACGAGATGAGCCTGTGGTGTCCACTAAAAATTTGTTTCTGACCCATAAGCGGTAATCAGACGCGTTTTAAACCGCAGCATTCAGCTGTAGCCCTGAGAATAGCTGTCTTTCCACGCTACTCACCATCACCGATCGTGTCTTCGCGACATTTTTTGCTCACTAGCAGACTGAATTATTTCCTGAAGCTAGTCATCTCAGCATGTCGCAGACTGTGGTGACGATTACGTTTTGACATGAAAAGTTTCAATTCACGTATGAATTCTGAGCATACAGATTGTTTCAAATTTAGGGAAGGAGCATCGCGCTATCTGCTTCCTCTGTTCAGAACGGGTAGCGACTCCGCTGCTGACCGGTCAGCGTATTACGTTACCAGCAGCTAGAAGGCATGAAGCAGGTTCTAATCGCTAACCTTTCGCGGTCAGCATCAGTTGTCTAACAGCCTGGGCCCACACTGGTAACCTGCGAGGTGATTGAGCCGGTATGGCGTTCGATAGTGAGAATACCGTGAGGGGCGGTTACCTAAATTTTACGATAGATGGTTCCAAACTTTCCCCGTTTCTCATCTGGCCTTCAGGCTGACCACAGCGAAGTTGCATAAATCTGTTCATTCACAATTTTGTGGTTGTACATCCAAACTCCATCAGGTAAAACGATAAAAATAATTAATGTTAAATCAAGATACATACAAGTGTTTCCAGCTTTAAACAATCTGCTTCTCAAAAGTAAAGTTTATTCTCATAAAAGTTGGTGAACCTTTTAGAAAGCTCTGGTGATTCCGAACATGGATGACATCATTTTACCCACTACCGCGAACCAGCCGCTTTTCAGCACCTACATTTAACCGATGCATGGGGCTCACCGATCTGCAGCCGCGGAACAAAGCTGTTGTGAACGTGAAATGCTAGATCAGGTTGACATTCAAACTGAATCGTCTTTAAATGATTTCTTTCCATGTATTGTGTTACGGATTTGTTTCAGTGAGTCTGGCTGGACACTAATATTGGCAGTACCATAACAAATTTTAATTTTGCCGACTTTACAGCTTACACTTGACAATTAACACTAGAGAAATGCCGTCACAGAGGATTTACATGTTGCTGCATATCATGAACTGTCAGAATTCAGAACGCCCGTCAGAAAACCAATCGGACAGAATGGAGGTAGCGACCAACATAACTGAGCATATGCGAAAATCAAGTACGAGGTGGAGGGTGAATTCCACAGAAAAATGCAACAAAGTTTCCTGTGAGGTACCTTCGATCAGGAGGAACATTCTAACGGACAGAGCACACAAGAGTGTCTTTTTAGTGCCCTGCTGTACTCCATTCGTGCTGTTAACCAGGGCTGCTGACGTGATGGGGAGCAACGGTTGGAACTGAGATCAAGCAGACTGACGAAACAGCTAGAAATGGCGACTTACCACTATCGTTGAAGGAGTACGACAGAAGTCTTGTTAACACCTGTGAAGCACTCGTTCACAGTTCTTGATTGTGAATTATCCATTTCCACGGTAATAGAAGCGCTGCAAGAGATCAGCTGAGCATTTCCAGTGACTCCTCAACAAATCTATCTAGGACTTTTCGTTTCGGCCCTCAATGACATTTGGTCACTAGAGATTAATGCACATACAGCCGAAATAAGTGACATCCAAAACGCTGCCGTTGCTTTCATCTCAGGTTGTAGAGTGCCTATGGTATGGATCAACCTTCTGAGGACATACTGAAGAATAGTGCATTAAATTCCCTCATGAAGATAAACCTCAAGGCGTGCCCCGAAACAGTGGAGAAATGCTGAATCGGGAGGCACAGCGGACATCTTTAATTGCCGTACAATTATACTCATGTCGACATCGGGGAAGCACAGTAATTGTATCATTTCAGAAAGACAGGTTTCTGAAAACTTCTCCCAGATTCGACAAACTTCGAACAAATGCTTCATTTCTGACCAGATTTTCAGTCTTCGTCGAATTCAAAAGCAATGTCGACGATTCGAAGTGCGTAGTTTGCCATTTTTAACAACCTCAAAGTCACATAAGATTCGGTGTATAATGGAATGACGTGGAAAATCGTAAAATGCAATGAAGTACTTGAGCATATCGTTTCTGTCTTGGAAAATATGTATAAACGAACCATAGAGTGATTCCATATCAACAGTGCACTTCGCCACCACTATGTACTGTCTCTTGCTGTTCAACACCGTTGTCGACATTTTCCTTCACAGCAGTGCTGATACTGGCCAGCAACAAAGTTTCACTCTAAAACGGAGGTCAGGTCAGGATCTCTAAGTATATCGCTGACTTACAGTACTCCGTTGTTACGGCGCTGATGAGCAGAACGGGGAAAGAGCTTCACTATTCGACTGCTTCAGTAATCAATACAGCTGCGAAAGCTTGTATCTGGACTGCGTAACATCCAGACATCACTTGTTATGAGGAACCCGTCCGGCATTATAAATATAGTAATGAAACGACAGAGGGAGTCGAACCGTTGAAACTTCTCGGTTCTGTTATCTGCACCGATGTGTATCAGATCAGATGATGTGTTAACTAAGAGTATTGCCTTTACTTATTGCGCTCGTGGTAACCCACTCAATATACGGATTGACAAACGACTGTCCACTGTCACAGTAGACTACCTGTAGGCTTTGTCTTTGCCGCAGTCAGGCAGGCGTTGCTATATTGCACGTAAACCAT